TCCTCCCTCCCTCCCTCCCTCCCTCCCTCCCCTCCCCTCCCTCTCTCTCTCTCTCTCTCTCTCTCTAAAAAAAAGTGTAAAAAAAAATTTAGCTTTCCATATAATGAATACAAGAAAGCTTCTTTAACCTTGTGCTGGAAAAGTTCTTGGGTTCCTTTGTTCTTCATCAACTTCAACAGAAGCCACTTATCCTTCATGAGCATTTCACTTCACTATCTTCCCCCTCCATGAGTACATCTTCCCCCGCTCCATCACTAGCGAACGAGACCCCATCCCAAATTTTGAAGACCTTGCTTTTGTACTTCTTTTCATTTTGCTGTCTTGCATGTGCTCTGCTGATTACATTTAAAAAATTGCAGAAGTTTTGGAAGATCCAATTTAGTTCATGGCCAACATGTGCTCCCTGTGTTTTGCCATTTTATTTTAGATATTGTTACTAGTACGATATGTTTTGTGCATTCCTTCTATATCCAAAATGATGCTTCATAATGTGGTTCATTCAGACATGTGCGCTACATAATGACAGATGCATTCTGATGGTGTTACTGGAGTTTACTGTGATTATGGGAACCACACTGAGAAGGTATGCTTCATTGAAACTATGCATAATCAAGTACCATGATACTGGTTTCTTATGTGAAACCCAATTTAATGTACTGTCACTCAAACGTTAGAGACTAGTCACTCGCTATGAAGGCCTGTGAGAGAGTGGAGTCCACAGCAAAGATTATGAAAGTGATGAAGCCCTATATTTGATGAATAATTAAAGATGCTAATTCAGCCACACAAATTTCAATAACTCATCCAATGTTTTTTTATTATGCCACCAAAAACATGGATGGTATAACTAGCAAGAGGGATTTTCCAATTGGCATTGCACTACCCATTACTAGTGACATGTTCTATTACTAAACACAATAACTAATGGGCTTAAGGTTGCAGTATCAATTCCCATGCTTATATGAAGGATAAAACTTAATGGAGACATCAAACCCAGATATTTTCTGCTTACAAGATAACTTCACTTTAAACCACTTTGGAGCAAAATGGAATTTGGGAAACTGAAAATCTATTTGACAAATATAGTTTGTGCAATGTGTTGTGTTTGCATTAGACTAGAATTACACTTATGTGATTTTTCAGGTAAAATTGAGATGGCTAGAAGTGATGGGCAATCATGCACAGCGAGAACTTGTTCGGGTCGTTACAGAAGCACCAAAGTTGGGTTTGGTACCCCATATTGGTTATGTCAGTCTCTTCCCATTTATGATGAAGATTATTCCATCTGTGAGTCATCAACTCATTTCTAGGTCCTACAGTTTTATATAAGCCAGTTGATTAGTGTGCTTGATGATCTAATTGATCATATTAACTTTTGTTTGGTCTTTTGGGTAAAAGGTTCATAATACAATCTTTTGCTTGTTATTGGGTTTGCCATTCAGGACTCTTGGATCCTTGGAAAACAACTTGATATTATCGCCAATCAAAGCATCCTATGGACCAAATATGGACTTCGATCTCTTGCAAAAACCAGGTATTTTTATCAAAATAATGTAAATGTTATGAATGGCCTTTTCCCTTGTATTTAAACAGTTTTACTCCTCTCTCCTCCTCCATGTGAAGCTTGTTCCTACTTCATATACGTTTCTCGGGTGCTTCATATTTGCATCCTTTCTTCAGTGAAATGATTGATTATGTTTTATGGTATTAGCTCATTGTACATGAAGCGCAATACCGAGCATGACCCACCTTACTGGAGAGGCCAGATTTGGATGAATATGAACTACATGACACTTTCAGCCCTTCGACATTATGCCCAAGGTAATGCATTTGTGTGTGTTAGAGGGAGAGAAGGAAGGAGGGATGTGTGGGGGTGGGGAACAAATTGATTGATGTGATAGAAACTCTGGACAGTATATATCAAGAAAAAGGGCACAATATATATGCAGTTTACTTTTTTGTTGTGTGCAAGCAGAGGATGGACCTCATAAGGAAAGAGCCAGCACGGTCTATAAAGAGCTTAGGGAGATATTAATCAGGTATGCATGCATTACTTGGTACAGAAGTGATATTACAGAGTCGTGCAATGTGTGGAGCTCTGTATTTATCTGCTATTTCCTTGTGCATCTTAGGAATGTTGTACAGAACTACCATCGCAGTGGGTATTTGTGGGAACAATATGATGAGACAAATGGAGGCAAGGGAAAGGGTTCACGCCCCTTTACTGGCTGGACTTCCCTCATTCTTTTGGTAATGGCCGAAGCATGATAGAATAAGAGGTTTTAGCCCTTGTATTCTCGATAAATGTTCTGAATTGATGGTTTACCATTGCAAAGGTTACTCGGATCTATGCACTACACTCTACATTAGACGAAATGGCTTGGTGCACTGCCCACTGCATTAGCAATTGAGGAGATTGTTTGGTTTCAAATTGTGTACCAGCAGCTCTGCACATCCAATGTCAATTGTGGATGATGAGTGAAGGTTTTCTTCCTCCACTTCAAACTTCATAAAATCTTAAGAAATAGAAATCAAATATTTGTTCTTTTTTCTTTTGGTTTGTAAAATGGGCAAGCTTTCTATACTTACCCTGCCATAAAAAAAACTCATACTTCCTCCTATCCGATTGTCCATTTTGAATGGACAGTTGAAATGGCCCCAATCATAATGTCACGCCTCTTGAATTTTTTTATTTTTGGGCTCACACTTATTAAACTCACATCTGTATAAAATATAAAAAGACATTTCCAATCAAATAAAATAACCAAAATATGCACAAGTATTTCAAAAGTATTTTGGTTATTTTGTTTTATCAAAAACATTTTTGAACATTTTTAAGGTGCATCCCATTAAGATGAGGGTGCATATCAATTTTCATAATTATATAATTTATAAAACTATAAATAAATAAAACAAAAAAAGGGAGCATAAATTTTCATATTCAAATAATTTGTAAAAAAAAAAATGTTAAAAGTAAAGTACTCAAACGTTCGATCTAGATCAAATGGTCAGTGATTCAAATTGACCAGCTGGAAGGAAAGGGGGAATATATATATATATATACGAGTAATGAAACCTTCCCCTTGAAAAATGGGGATGTTTCATAACAGTTTTTCCCTTCATGTCAAAGCATTAGCATATGTACCATTTAAGGGAGGACTGTAGTTAGCAGTTAAACCATTTAAACTTGTTCTTGAAAAGTCTAATTCTACTAAGCACCAGCATTACCGTTGTTTACCGACAAACCATACGAAGAGGCCCATTAAGAAAATTATGCGAGCATTGAGAATCATACGAGAACACAAGCACAAGCATGCAAGTTTAAATCTACTTTGAAAATATAAATATTTGTACTCCATTTTTGTCAAATTTCAAATTGGGCAATTGAGTGTCTTTGAATTTCATGACATACCCCAAGCTTATCCAATTTAAAGTCTATTGGCTAAGAATAATTATGCCCTTGTAGTAAACACAGGTAGTCTCAAGATATACAATCCTTATTTTTTATCCATTGTTTTTATAAGCCACCATGACACCTAGCCAATTCCCCTCTTCTGCTAGTAAACCTGCAGGAAGCATTTTAAATTCCAACCCCATACTCCTACCATCATCAGAAACTTCATGGTAGAAAGTTGATGAACCAGACTAAATTGAAAAGCAGCATGAAAAAAAGATTTTGGCTGAAAAATTACACATTACTAGCGAACTATATTGCTAAAACGTGTTCTCATTCCCCCCTTTTCTTGTTGAGACAGGGAAAAGGTAAAGAAAGTGTTACCCCTCAACCACCACAAATGGGCAAGGCAAACCAAAATAGAAACAACACTCAAATCAACTCCATTAACTCTGTGAAGCTTCTTCCTCCATTTTGGTGTCTTCAGACATGATGATCTCCATATTCCTCATATCCCTTTTCAACACATTCCCCAGCCTTGCAATTGCTTCTGTTTGCTGCTGCAAAACCTATAAAAAGGCAGTACACAAAATGCATGAAACAAATTGCGTTACAGATAACTGTTGTTGAAATATGAGCAAGAGTAATGCCTCACTAAATTTCTGTCTACCTCCTGCATATCGGCTTGGCTCTGCTCCTGTATTTTTGCAGAACTGGGTAGATAAACAGAAACAGAAGCACCAGTCATGCCATTCTCTTGCATGCGAGATACTGCAAGCAAATTATGAACCCTTCTAGGCAATTCGGCACCTGCTCCTTTTAACTGCCATTATGAGACAGAAGTGTCAAGACTGGAAGGGCACACGGGCGCACATTTGCGAGTGCACACACACACACACATGACTGGAAGGGCATGTGTGCACACACGCATGCGCAAACACACACACAGGGTGGTTAATAACCTGTTTAACCAATCCAGCTAATTTTTCTGCCAACTGGGCTTCGTTTTTCATTAGTGGCACCCTAAACCCCTTACCCTCCAAGGCCTCCACAATTCGCATAACCTGCTTCAGAATAAACACAATGTACAAATTTCTTAGGACAAAAAACCCAGTTATTAAAAACCTAGTTATTGTTGGAACTGGGTATCAAGAACTAAACAACTGGACTGTTAACAGAGCCAACAGAAAGCAAATTGAAAGAAGTAACTTTTCAGCCAGCAACTAATCAAACCTTTCTTATCCATCCTAAAAGCTAACACCTTTTTAAAACTGACCAGAAGGAATCAATGTCATTTATGTATCAACTATCCTTCGTATTCAAGTAAAATATATAAACTACGAGGAGACAACCCTATCCAAGAGCTGAGACCATACAGTTATGCACAGAACTTTGGTAGCACCCAGCATGAGAAAAGGATTAAAAGAAGCTCAAATTGTCATCAAACGTGTTGGGTAAACTACATAGCTCTGCTCAAAAACATAGAAACTATTTATGGCTGCCACCCAGTAGAGGCAAAAGATTTGAAATAAGATTAATTGTCTATGGAATGGTAAACCAGAGGGAACCAAAAGTTCTAATTCCAAGACTGGATGGGCATTGAGAAAATAACACCAATCTAAATGGTACGCAAAACTACAGACACCATGGACCATGAGAGAACAACAATCCACCAAAGCAAAACTACGGACACCATGGAACATGAGGTAAACAATCCACCAAAGGCCCTTGATAGAAATCAGCGGCTGCTTCATACAAACCTGATATAATGGTGGCACTTTATTACCAACTTTTGAGAAGGCCTCTAAAAAATATGAATTCAACAAAGCTCAAGGTCGAGCTTCTCCCAACCCAAGAGAATGATATAATGGTTTCTAAATTTATTTATTTTTACTATTTTCTAGATTTTAGATTTGGTATTATTTGGGTTTTTAGCTTTGTTTTAGGGTTATTTTTGTCTTTACTGGTTGTAGATATTCGAGGGATAGAACTGGAAGTTTATTTTATTTTAAAGATGAAGTGATTAGGATATGTTAAAAGAGGTCATGGGAGAAGGGAGATAAGGATGATGTTTAATTTAGGTGGGAGCTTACTAATTGAGGAGGAGAGAACTATGTGAGAATATAGAGAAAGGAGAGAGAGAGCTATGAAAGATAGAGAGAGAGAGTTTTTGTGGTTTTTTTTATAATTATTTGTTTTCGTTTGCATTTAGAGGGCAGGAGGTCCATTTCTGAGAACCGGTTATTTTGAGAAAAGAGGTTGTTTTTGTATCTTATGAAGAAATGTTTGCAGTGGACTCCCTTGCAAACCCTCAGAGCGAGTATATGCTCTCAGTCCTTTATTACTATTTTTATTTTAATTATTTCTTTCTCATCTTTCCTCCATCTTCACTGTATCTACATCAAAAAGGCCACCAATGAAGAATAGGTCAAGCAATGAAATGGTTATCTCCCCCGGTCTTTGCAAGTCGTGTTACTCCCTGCACATCAAGACTCAAAAAAGGCTCTGACAGTGCCCGAACAATGGTCATAGATCCACATATAGCACTAAGAAGCTGCCAACAGATGGGCCCCGCGAAGCACCCCTCAAAGCAAGTTAGAATGTCAGCGGTCCGTGAGAACCAACCCTTCATATACTGATGCTCTCCTCTGAATCTTCTTATTGGCCATGACACGCTTTCCCAAAGTACACAAACTCCATCTTGAAGCAATGCCCCAATGCAAATAATGGAACATCCCCGGCCTCTTGTTCTCCACTTCCGAAGGCTCCTTCCCTCCCTTTTGAAAACGAACCTGAACTGGGTGATCTGAGAAACGTAGGCAATGCTAAATGGCAATTGCAGATTCATTTGCATGTTGGAAAGATCATATTTGAAGTTCAATAACCCTTTTCCCATAGTTTTAGTCCTATAGCAGGACGCTCAGCCTCTATATCTCTCCCTCCGGCAGTAAAGACCTATACGCGCCGTTTGTGAAGGTGCCGTGCAGGAGCCAAGATGACCTCCAGCCATTAAAATCAAAGACCATTTACTATGTCAGATTTTAACCAACAGACCCTCATATTTCCTAAATTATGGGGATTTAGCCAACAAATTTGGTGGAGATGTCCTCTATGACGAGCTCTATAACACATCAAAGTTTCATGGCAAACTCTTTTCTGAGGAAGAAGATATTGGGTCCATAATCATCGCAACTTCGAGGCATATCTCCCTCAATATTGGTCCAAATGAGGTGGGTCTTGAACCATTTGATTCGTCATGGCTTTTTTAAGCATAGCAAATTTCACAGCCAAAGGACTTTCCATTTGAGAGCAGCACCAGTTAGATCAAGACATGTCTGGACAAAGTGGAGGCACTGGGTTAACAAATTCCCTAAAATCTCCCGCATCAGCATTAGGTCAAAATGTGTTGGTTCGAGTCTCAAATTCATATAGAGCTTCAAATTTAGTCGAAGCAGGTCCCTTTGAATGCATTAATGGAGCATTTGAATTTGAAGATGATTGAGGCCTGTCACTTGGAAGCAATACGTGAAACAGAGGCTCCAACCATCTGGTTTTTGAATAAGCATTAATCATATTGAGGCTTATCTTCTAGAACAAATCACTCAACACTCTATAAAACACTCCCTCCCACACACTAAAGGGGGAATCGATCTGGGATCCTGTGAGAGATAACCCATATTTTTTTTACACATTTTCTAGAGAGAGACGGTGACTGAATAGATAGAAAGAACACTGAAAACCTCGCTTGAAGGAGACCATGCTTTGAGGAATACAGAGAAGTGAAGACAACATCTCTCAATACAGGTTTATGCCCAGATGTTGATATTTTTCTTCCGTTTTTATACATTTTCTTTCTTTGAGTTTGTAAGCCTGTCAAGACCTCAATCAAGGTTTCTGAGTTCGAATATTGACTTGGAGTAAATTGTAATTGAGTTTGAAAGTCTTCGCAGTTCCTCACGAACCCCCGCATTGTAAAAAATCCATATTTTCCATTATATAAAGTATGGACGAATTTGTTCTCCAAAGAGTGTTGTTATCCGGTAATGCTTTGCTTTGATGGAGTCATAGTCCTTTAAAATCTTTGTTTGCACACACTTTGGGGAAATGGAGCCATGAAAGGGCGATTCTGGATCAATTTACTAACCAATCCTCCCAGCTAGGAGGGAGTTGATCAGAAGCATATTACTTAGTACCATTGGAGGGACCCTTGTCAGCCATGAATTCATACAGATCAGAAGAATCCTCCATAGATTAAAGTAAGAAGATGAAAAGCGACCCCACCCATGTTGAAGCTACAGTGTGGTCGTCTCCCCCTGAAGAAGTTGACCCATGCTGAACTCAGCATGGCAGTCCTAAGAGGGGGCCCACCCATTCTCAAGCCAGGTGTGGGTGCATAAGCCAGAAGCCCCACCCAAGCTGAAGGCATAAGTGACGCCCCCACCCTTTCTCAAGCCCACAGCAAGGGTGCCCATGCCAAAATCCCCACCCATGTTGAAGGCACAGGTGTGGGTGCTCCAGTATGATGCTCCCCACCCACACTCAAGCCCACATTGTGGGTGCCCAGGGCCTCGCACTGAATGCATAAGCATGGGTGCCCAGTTTGAAGCCACCCGCCCACGCTCAAGCCCACAACCATGGGTGCACAAACCAGAAGCCCCCACCCATGCCAAGATAGGAAGTGGATCCTCAGTTTAAAGTCACTCACCCACACTAACGTTGAAGCGTGGGTGCCCAATTCAGAGACATCCACCCATGTTGAGATATATGTGGGTGCCCAATCAGGAACATCCACCCACCCTGAAGCCTGGAGCACGGGTGACCAATCACAGTGCTCCCACCCACGTTGAGTCTAGAGCGTGGATACCTAGATAGAGTAAAGTCCATTCACATTTAAAACATGGAGTAGCTGCACAAGGATTACGGGGCGGGCCAAAATGGCCAGACAAAAGAAGAGCCGATGGAGAGTCAGTAACATCTCCTTTTGTATCAGGGCACTTTGAAGAGGATGACAGGGTCCTTGACCTAATGCCAGAAGCCCTAGGGAAATCCATGACCAGAGTCTGCAAGGAGCATGCATGACAGACCCTATAGGCCCTCAAACATCCCAAAGACAACATGTTTTCCATAGAATAAGGAATCAACAAAGTGGCAAAATGGAAACAGGCAGAAAATGAATAGTAACCCGACCGGTGTTTTCACTGCCGCAGCCACATCCACATCCAGAACGGGAGACACTTGAGGCCACAGCCATTCTGAAGCTTGCGCCGGGCCGAATCTGTTGGACCTGCGCCCAACCTTGCAGAACATAGACGAGGGCGCTGAGCCCAGACATTCACACCTACAGCATGAGCCATAACCCCACCATGGGTGGACCACACTTATAGCATGGGAGGCCCTCAGCAGCACGGGTCTCCCATGCCTACAGCGTGGGTAACCACCCACAACTAAGACCCTTCTACTCCTTTAAATTCTAAGTCCCGAGGACTTTAGGAAGAATCAGGAGAACATATATCGTCTAGCCCTATGGCCTCATCCATTAGGCCCTTTTGGACCCCTCCACCCCAAGGTACCCTTAGGCTAAATGTGGGTGGGTGCTCTTTAGGTAACTCAGGCCACTCAGTGTTTGGGGACAGTGTAGCCAGCAACAAAAAGAAAAATTATTTCCTTCTCAGGGTTCATAGGTTTCAAAAACTCCACTATAGCCAAATCTACAACTATTCTTGAGGACCTTAAGCGAGTTGGCCCCCTCCTCACAGATTCAAGGCTTCTGGTAGTGGAAGGGGAGGGCACTAGGAATCTAATTGCTTGTGCTGCAAGGGAGGCTCCGCCACCTTATATTTTCAAGCGCATCTTTATTATTTGCAGGAACTTCCCGATGACCTTCTACGATATTCCGAGAACGTCCAAGTATTGCGCAAACCAGCTGGCTAAGAAAGGTGCTCGGGGTGGATTGGTGACAAACAGCGACTCAGTGGCTTTACCCTCACCAACTTGAAGCAATACCGTTGACACTCTCTCCAACCTTTTCCATCTTATTCTCTATTGTAGGCTATGTTCTCACAAATGCCATCTAGTGGTTACAAGAGCTCCTCTAGTGGGTAAGCGGGTTTTGTATAGAATGGAGTTTTTGTTGTATTTTTTGGAGCACCTGGGATGTGGATTTCCTAAATAACCTTTTCTCTCTCTTCCTCCATTCTCTTTTTATTTTTGTTGCCCTTGATCTTTTGAGCACTCAGTTTGTGAGCTGCTGTGTAGGGTAAAGTGCTTTTCTGTAAGCTAGTTATAAAGTAAAACAATACAGTCAACCTTCCCTCAAAAAAACAAGAGAGGAGAGGATATAAAACTACAGTTGAAGAAAGAGCACACAAATGAGATAGTATATGGGATTTTAAAAAGGACAGAGAAAATAGTGTGTGGACAAGTGGGAAGAGGGTAGGAGGATGGGACCAAGGGGGGAATGCTTACGAGACACACACACACACAGAGAGTAATACGAGTATGGCGATTAAAGGAGGGAGGGAGTGAGAGAGAGAATCTAGAATAAGATGAGACATGAAAAGAGAAAATTTATGGATGAGACGTAAATTGCAATGAGAAGAGGGTGTCTGATAATCCGATAGATTATAAATAGGAGAGAAGAAATATCCCACATCTATGGGTAAGAGAACACAAGAAATCATATGTTCGATTTAATTATCCCAAAAAAAATAAAATTATCTACTGATGAGATCTGAAAAGATCCCAAGACTTGATCAGATACAACAAATTTTTCAGACAAAAACTAAATTTTTAATGAATTTAGAATAAATAAATATATGGTAGTGGCAGTAACATCAGAAGTACCCCAAACCATAAGAGAGATGACCATTACATGAGTGACTCAATACCTGATGTGCACAAGATCCCATAAACTTATTTCTAAAATCAAATAGCCTAGATTAAGTGTAGAAAGAAGGATAAAAACCACCTCAGCTAAAAAAAAAAAAAGAGCAACCACATGTTATAACAAAATAGCAGCATGGTAAACAACAAGGAAAGGATTAAGTATAACCCACATCACTAGAAACTCAAACAACAAATATTGAGCTTTAACAATAAAGATCAAAACACAAAAGAAGAAGCAGGACAGATCTCAAACCCTCAAGAGACGCCTTTGTAGCCCTTGCTCTTTCTGCCTCATTCTCTGAATCCAAGGAAGAGTGTCGACTTGAAAATGCCGCTCAAGCTGTCACTAAAACAAATTCATTCGGTAAATGTCACATAAAATGAGGAGTTACTGAAGAAATTCATAGATTACACAGACCAATTTCACATTAGTTTGAGTTGTGCGAAGCCTTTCAACATCAGATACCAAAGCTTCATCTTGAAGCTGTAAGAATACCAGCATAAGACACAAATTAGACTCAAAAAGCCAGTTAAAGGGTGCTGACTTGTTTTCATATTTCAACAAGTATAGTGCAGCTCACTTATCCAATAAAATTATTTTAAATGAGATCAGATACGGCATTTGCATAAAAGATTGATAGTAGTTTGAATTTTAAAACCATCAAGTACAAGCAAATTTCACATGTTAATTGCAACCCCCCCCCCCCTTCCCCCGACATGGAAGATAAAAGAGTAAAACCCGTAGAAACAAGGGAAGCACAACTTGTTTTTCTAAAAAAAAATATTTTGAAAAATGTCAAGCAATAGCTAATATATATATATATATATATATATATGTGCGTGTGTGTGTGTGTGTGTGTGTGGAAAAAAAGAGTTCACGCAAATGCAATTACTTTATCAGCATGAGATCATACTAGTATGTCTACTAAATTGCTTTCATGTACTGCACACGTGCACTTGACGCATCTGCATTTCATGCACATGCACTACTTGGGCATGCATTGCACACTTCACCCATTGCAACGCACCGGCACATCAAGCATTACACCACCATATACCAGTTTGCATAACGCAGCTGCTACCCCATATTACCACATACACGCATACATCGCCTTCCATGGTACATTCCTCATTTGCACCACATACCTTCCATAGTGCATTGTGCATGTGCACCACGTACCTTGCATGGTGCAAGTGCACCATGTACAGAGCGCCAAGCATGAAGCCCTGTTTGCGCATTTGGAGCCCACGCAACATAGATATTGCATTGCACATGCCCGCACCCGTTAATAGCGCACTTTGCTCGCCATACACACAATGCAAGCGCATGTTTTTTTTTGTTCTTTTATTTTTTGGTTGGGGGGAGGGGGGGGGGACCAATGGGGATTTAAGCCTCCGCCCCATTTCATTAATAAGGAAAAAGAGAAACAAAGAAATATGATATTTTATAGTGGAATATACATTTCAATAGGATTGTGTATTGACTGACCAAGGGTTTAGTGGTTTATGGCCTTGGTCATGTCCAAAAACCCTTACCCGTGGGCAAGTGACACTACTGAGAAGGTTTTGCAGTGGATCATCCCTTGTTGAGATCGGAGAGATGCCTAAGGATGATGGTTGTAGGCCAAGAGAACTGTGAGGTCTCTTGTGGGTGGTTGTAGCCCTGTGAGAGCAACGGCCAAAACCTCAACAAACTTTCGTATGAAAAAGACACATGACAACTGCATTACTAGGAAGCAGCCCTATAAAGGGTCACATGTACATGTGTGTAGAGAAAACCCGCTTTGCACTGTGGTTACAAGTGGTAGACTTGCTCTTAAAAGAAGAACAAAAATCCACATTCCAAGATTATGGTCTCATTGTTTATTATCCAACTATGACAAGCCAATCATGAGCCCTTGCTTTGAGACTGTGAGGGTCCTAGGTCGTTGTTGGGTTGGAGAAGAAAACAGGAGTGGATCATGGTTTCTGGGGCAAGTGGAATGCCCTTATTGTCCGCTAATTTTGACCTGTTGGTGCCAATCCACTCTTATTATATTTTATTTTTGTATTAGAAATGTTATGATTTTTTAAATATTTTTCAGAATTTTAAAATAGTATTTCTGCTGTAATTTTCATCAAAAAGGTATTTCTAAAATTTGCAGGACGTAAAATCACACTTGTGGGATGAAGGATCTAGCCCCACATGTGTGTGCTCTTTTTTAGAGTGGGGACTATGTGCCCCCCAAAAAGGACGACACCCTAATATTTCTTAAACAAAAAGTGGGCACGCAATTTCTTGTGGAAAAAAGTGGGCACTCCACTTTTTGGGGAGAAAGTGAGCACGCCATTTTTTTGGGAGAAAGGAGGCACGCCCCACTTTCTTAAAAGATTTGTTCAAACTTTTTTAAACTTAACTGGCATGTCACCTTTTTAACAATTAGGGGCACGCCACTTATTTAGGAACTGGCAGACACACCCCACTTTCTTGTTGTTGTTTAATATTTAAATTAGTTAAAAATAGGAAATATTTTCAAATAAGATTTGATTTCCTTATCATATGTTTCTTTTAATATAAATTATGGGAGACCTATATTATGATAAGTTTGATTATTTTTTAATTTTAAATAGGAGTTGGACTAGAGTCAAAATCTAAAGGGATAAGATTCCTATCTTTCCACCCAAAATCATGATGATTGATTGTGGGATGGATGGCTCCGATTAAATATCACACCCCACATATTTCTTAAATTATCTTAAAAGGTCTAGCTGGAAATTAGGTACGGCATACTTAAGGGAATCCTATTCAAGATAGAAAATCTATGTTATTTCTATATAAACAAGCCCCCTCCCTTAGAAGATCTAGATTTCTCTCTCATGCTCTAAGATTCCTTCTCTCTCTCACAAGACAAAATTCTCTCCCCCTTTTCTCTCTCAAGCCACCATGTCTCCTCTTATTTGCTTTCACACCACCCTCTCTCCTATTTTCTATCACAACACTCTCTCCTATTATTAGGGTAAGTTCTATCAAAAGAAAATAAGAGGAAAGATGGGACATAAACCCTAAGCGGAGTTTGTTGTATTAGAAGAAAGTAGGGAGAAGCTCAGCTAAGAGAGAGATGAACTCACAAGTTAGGCCCTATGTTCTTCCCATAGGGTTTCTACAAACCTCAGTTGATTTTTGAGCTCTCTAAAACCCTAAAAAAAGAAGTATTGCCTACAAAGCTTCCCTATCTTATAATTTCCAACACCTAAGGTGTACGAAATGAGCCATTAGTCAAGGAATCGGGTGTGAGGTTAGAGAGATTTAATCAGAATCATCCATCCCACAAATCAGCTATCATGATTTTGGGTGAAAAGATAGAAACCTTATACCATTAGATTTTAACCCAAGTTCAACTCCTATTTAAAACTGAAATACAATCAATCTTATCATAATCTAGCTCTCCTATAATCTATATTTAAAAAAAAAACATAGGATAAAGAAACCAAAATCTTATTTGAAAAGATTTCTTATCTTTAACTAATTTAAATATTAAAAACTACAAGAAAGCAGGACCCCCCACTTCCTAAATAAGTAGTGTGCCCCATATTCTTAAAAAGGTGACTTGCCACTTAAGTTCAAAAAAGTTTAAACAAATATTTTAAAAAAATGGGAGCATACCTCCTTTCTCTCCAAAAAGTGGTGTCAACTTTTTCCACAAAAAGTGGCGCCCACTTTTTGTTTAAAAAAATTACGGCATGGTACATAATGGGTGGCACGTGGTCCCCACTCTAAAAAAAAACCACACACATGTGGGGTTGAATCCTGAGTCCCACATGCGTTATTTTAAGTTCTGAAATTTTCAAAAATACCCCTTTGATGAAAATTACAACAAGAATAATATTTTAAAATTCTGAAAAAATATTTAAAAATTTATAAAAATATTTTTGAATATCAAAATATATTAGGAATTGACTGGTACCAATAGGTCAAAATTAACGACAATAAAGGCACTCCACTCACCCCAAAAATCATTCTTATCCAACCCAACAACGACCCATGACCCACAATCTTAAAGCAGGGGCTCATGATTGGTTTGCCAAAGTTGGATAATAAACAGTGAGACCATTATCTTGGAATATGGAATTTAGTTCTCCCCTTTAAGAACAAGTCTAGCACTTGTCACTACAGTTCAAAAATGACTCTCTCTATGTATATGTACACATGTCCCTTTACAGGGTGCTTCCCTGTAATGTGATTGTCAAAAAAATGATAGAACTAAGGAAATCCGGTGACCAGGCTCACCAAGCCATGGCCTTGGAGAGAATTGCAGTTGTTTTGGCCAAGCAGAAAGCAACCATGTTGGCCATGCTATAAAGATGATAAATGCTTCAAGAATGGCCATTGAGGTGGCGAGAGCAATTAGATGTTGTAATATGGAGATTCCAGCGGGACCTTGTGACAACCAAGGAGAGAGTGCACAAGGATTTGTGAATCGCCTTTCAATAATCAAAGGGAAGCATTCAGCAACGTTATTAGATGTGTGCCTCAGAGGACTAGCAAATGCAACAAGGAAACCACCCAAGTCATTCCTGAAAACTCCACTGCAGTCAGCCGCTCCAAGATTGCCAAGGGATGAACCATCAATGTAGTAGCATGCTGGGGGTGGAGATAACGAAACCATAATGGGAGCTTTGGCTTGCATAGGACGTCACTGGATTCTCAAATTATCAACAACATGTTTCTCTAAAGGGTGAAGAGTCCATCCTTTTACTTTTGCCAAATCTGCAGCAAAAGAAATAATGTGCTGCAACACTTGTTCTCTTGTGGGTCTCCTTCCCTCGAAAATGTGTGATTACTTCTTGTCCAAAGGAACCAAACTGTGGTCAGAAACAAAGACGTCCAGAAATTCCAAAAGCGCATCAATATGAACGGATACTCTGTCCAAGTATCAAACATAGAGGGGTATCGATGACCCTATGGGAATTTTTGCCACATGCCCACACGATAAAGCACCAGAGTACTGATGCAAAAGAACAAAATAGAATAATATGGATAGCTGAGTCACCCCCATTGAGGCATAAGGGGCACCAATGTGCTAAAGGATCCCTCTTGTCTGGAGTAACTCCAATGTGGGTTGAGCAAAGTAAAGCATTTGGCATTGGATGAGAGTGGGAGGCCCATAAGGATTTGAAGTTTGCATCGGGGGGAGCTATATTTCTGACATGGTTCCATGCACTCTTATTATGCCCGAATAAGGAGCCCAGTGGCACGATCAGGCAATCACCATTATGCGGGTTTTTGCTCATAGAAAATCGGCCAAGCTAGATTTCGCACAATGTCCCAAGTCTTTATATATATATCATAGCCAAACTTTTCCAAATAGAAATTTCAGGCAGCCATGGATTCCCCCAAAAATAAATAGAATTACCATATCCCACAATCCACTCGACTTTATGCCTTAATCTGTTTAAAGCAGTAAAAATACCCATCCACGCATGAGAAGAAGTCTTACTTTTGGA